GAGCAGCCGCCGAGAAGTGAGCGCTAGCGACTGACGCGCCACCTAGGTGGCCGCCCGGCGAAACTCCAACCACCACCGGATTTTGTAGTCTTTTTCGAGGTGGAAACCGGGCAAAGCCGACCCTCCATTCCCTTTATTCTCCGTGTGCAAAACAAAGCTACAAATGCCCGCCGGCCCGCCGAGACATTATGATGAGAAATTTATCTTTCTTCATTACTTTAAATGTGGACATATTTTATTTTAGAAGATTCATTCAGGAAGGGAAAACTGAATAAAATGAATTGAATTTGAATGTTTGGATTGGATTTTTTCTCTTATCAACAAATGTCATTTCACAAAAAACTTAAAAAGGAGTAAACAAGAAGTTGTGTACGCAGAGACTCTCATACAAGTAGCAGGCAAGCTAGGCAACACAGAAAGAAAATGTACACAAGAAAGTAGCAACAGGTAGGGCCAAAGCTTTGTTGTTTTTGCATTCTGCTGCAACGAGATGTTCAAAACCAAATTTTGTTTTTGCAACACTCATTCAGGGAGATCCTGAATAATCTATTTCCAAGGTTTAAATTTTGTCAAGGTATCGGCGTTTTCATTGTACCGGGCGGCCATATTTGCTGTCATTTCATAAACAGTCCTGAAGAATTCGCTTCGGGCTTTGTATTTTACATATATTTGCTTATTTGCCTTATTTTCGCGAGTGAAGGGCGTGTTTTATAAATCGAGTGTGCTTAAAAATCATGATGTCAAGATCTGTGCGTGCTGAAACGAGAAGCCGAGCCAAAGATGACATCAAAAGAGTCATGCAAGTCGTGGATAAGGTTAGGCATTGGTAAGTATGGCGTGCCCCAGCAGCCAAAGCCTGTAGTTCTAGAAAAGATAATTCATAACTATAAAAATGCAGTTGATATGTTTGCTTCCTTCTCTCCGATTAAATTATGCCCGTTCTTGCCGCTAGTCAATTTCTGCGGGTACTCCCACTGAACAAGTCAATGTTGTAGAGTTGGTAAACTTAAGGCTGCCAGAAATGTCAAACTTGATTAGAAATGGTCCCTAGCTGAAGCTGGATTGAAACATTTACAGGCTTCCATTGATGTATTATCATTTAAATAACCATTTCAGGTGTTTTTTTAAATTTGACATTTTGAATATTTTAAGGTTGCTTGTATTAATTGTTCATTTATCATCTCAATCACACTTTATTGTTATATTACAGGGAGAAGAAGTGGGTTACTATTGGAGATACTACTATGAAAATCTATAAATGGGTACCAGTGATAACATTGGACCAGGTAACATTTAATTAGTTTTCAATGTTCTATGACACTAACTTTAATGTACAATTTGATATGCTGATTTTGGTTTGCAGAAAAAGAAAACTGTCAGTCACAGTAACAAAGAAAATAACCCTTCGAAACGTCCTGCCGTTGACTCTTCCAATTCCAACTCTAACTTTGGTTTAGCTGAGGACTCCAACACATGTAAGTTCTCTCCAATTTTATCAGTACACCTTACATTGTTTTCAGTGCAAACAGTTGATATATTTGTCATAGCACATGTTGACGACTGATAACAAACCTCCTTTTTCAGCCTTCTCAATGGTCAGTGACTCACAAGGTCCTACGGATTTTACTGCACAGCTCGGGTTTTCAGAGGACTCAAATTCTCAAAGCAGTGAACCTGGATCAAAGCGCTTGAAAACTGATAATTCTTCTTAGTGCTAGATTATATGCTTTCCATTTTCATTACAATGTGGTGTTACATGGTTGGAATATTATTTATAAATTCCTTTGGTACAAATTCCACTTTTTAAAGAAGGAATTTCAAGAATATTATAAAATTGTATATAGTGTTTATTTTTTCTCTTAAGTTATTTGTAATAACCTGTAAAAAAAAATGCGGGCAAGAGAATGTAAATTTTATGTAGAGAATAGTGCATGCGCGTGATTGTGAAAATGTAATGCTCGATTTATAACTTACCATTTCTATATGTATATGAGACCCTTACAGTAATTGTATATAATGTAGATCTCCATCCTATAGTGTTTTGTATTGCAAGTGAATTAATCTTCACTTTTCTACTGTCTTTTTTAAACAGTTTGAATTGACAAGTAATCTGTCTTGCACAGTTTACTCAAGTATTTGGTTTTAATTTCATTATATCTAATATGAAATTATTTCTCTTTTCTTAACTTTGCCGCTTCCATTACTTGACCAAGACAATTTCAGAGAGTTGTCCCTCTTTCATTAGTCACATGTTTCACACATTTTGTGGGTTGAATTGAGAACAGAGATGCAATATTGACAAAATTTTCCTGTTTTTTCTTCAATCTCCACCCAACGATTTTTTCCTTGATTTGAAAGTGATGCTATATTCTCAGAATACTGCTGTAAATATTTCATAAGTTTGGGACTGAAAAAGGGGGAAAAAATTAATTGTATGTAGACTATAAAGGTACTGCAAAGCATAATTCAATTATACTCACTGGGCAAAAATTTCTGGTGAAGTGTGTAATTGAAACATAACCATCAACAGAATGGAGTTAAATATAATTTGAAGTGAGGGAACGAACTCCAAAAAGCGGGAGAAGGTAGCTCTCTGTCGGGATCTGAGCATGTGTTGACTGAGATACTGCTGGCTAGATTTTAGAGTATTAGAACAATTATCACAAGTTTTCTCAACAGCTGAAATAATCTTTCTTAGTGATCCAATCATAGACATATCTGTCTTGGTTCTGTAAAGTGTTCGCACTGGTTTGTTTAGAAGAAGATCAATATGGTCAACTATATCACCTGGGCAACTTACTTGAGAAATTGAATGATTCAGTAAAGCCAATTTCAGTTTTAACACACTGTCAGTTAAGGTACTCCTTGTGCCTCCAAACAGTCTTAAATCTAAATTTAATGCCTTGACTTTTTCTAGGACAGTTGCTGTTTGTGATTTCAAAAGTGATACAGAATGGAACTTTGGAGTGAAATTTTCTTCGACATCTGTCAGTAATTTTTCCAGATCTATATTTTGGGGTGGTCCTAGCTTTAGCAAGACTGTTAAAGCTACACAAAACACATGATTACAGACCACACTTGGAATCTGACTAATACAACACTCGCCATGACTCAATTTATCTCGTATTCGTGGTCCTCCAAAACTATGTAAAATATCCATTAACATCTCTAGAATGTTTTGACCTAAGAGGAGTATTAGTTGATTTTCCTCACGTAATCCTTCAGATTTTACAAAATGTTGATCCAGAATTTCATCCATTGTAGTATAAAGTGAATGCTGCTCAGCAACAAGAACTCTATTTAGACAGCAGTTCACAGAGCAAAACACGCATCTGAGTGTATGTTCAAGAGCAGGCAGAAGAAGCATGAGACACTCTCCATGCTTCCCATTGCATAATAAATCAAATGCATTTATCCAATACAATAAATGAGTCTTTGGAATGAAGTGGCTCTTTTGTATGACCTCTCTGACATCATCAATATGTTCCAATAAATTTGGAAATCCAGTGCTGGTCAAAAGAGGTAAGAAAGTGGCCCATGTGACAGCATCCATCTAAATAACAAAATGAAAACATGATCAAAATCGTAGGCTTTTTAGGAAAAATTTTCCATTGAATGAAATTTTAATATAGCTCACTCTGGGTCTTAATGAAAAAGTAGTGATCTTATTGGAGTCACAAAGTATTTCTCCTATGGATGTAATTAATACAACTAAGGCAGCGGAAATATCAAAATGCACTTCTTCAGGTGCAGGGAACCCATGCCAGCACACATTTCTGATATTGAAAGCAAGTGGTGTTCCTAGCAATGCTTTGGCCATGAACATCTGCAATTACCAAGGATTTATTTTAAGCTGGTAGTGACAAAGACATTAATTCAATAATAATAAAAAAGACTTACAGGAAACTTTCCAAAAACGCTGAGAAGTTCTACTGACTTCAATAAATCTTTAAGAAGAAATGGGACATTTGAGTTTGTACATTGCTGGAAGACCTTCAATCAAAATTAGACCGAATAATAATATATTAATCACTCAAAATTAAATCTTTAAATAAACTATAAATACAACATTTTTGAGCAATGAGTTACATTTCCTACAGCGTTCTCAAAGATTGACGTCAGAAAAAGTGCACTTTTCAAAGGAATTATTAAGGATTTATCACTCTGCAGTTGTATGTAGCAGCTCTGTATTTCCTCTACACAATTTGTCCACTGCCAAAAATGAATTGGTGGACTTCTGCATTCCTGCAGTTTACGACCACTGTCAATAAAAATTGACCAAAATTTCTTCCAGATCGAATGGTTGTGCTCATGGAAGTCCATATCTGAAAAATTTAAGTTTGTTGAGGGTCAAGGTATGATACAAATTCTATTTCTTTTTTCAAATAAATGTAATACCTGCGGACAAGCCACTGTAAAGCAAAATATAATCCCAGTTAAATGTCAGGCATGGTGTGACAAAGTTGTTTGCTTCACTGTAGGTTAGATCCTCCCTGGCATCAACAAGTATAAATTTGATGGAAGGTGATAGAAAGGAATTGGCTTTCGAAAATTGCGCCTCATAGAACATGTTTACTAAGACAGAAACTAAAAACCCCGATCAAATCAAATCATGAGAGATTTTCCAGACAATTAGCTAGTTGATCAAGGGGCGATCAAGGACTGATCGGCGGGGAGGAGCGGGGGGGAAGTTCATTGTGATTTAAAAATTCAGTAAAAAGTATGCACCATGGCTGCTCACAAATTTTGAAATTGAATGTCATCTCAATGAAAGGGAAAGGGAAATGAAATTTCAGTCTTGATTATTACCATTTAGACGATTATTTACCCGTTACAGTTTCACACTGTTGGTTGGTACTAGCTTCGTTTTTGGCGCTCCTTGTGTCGGTCACAACAAACAAGAAACACTACAAAGAGTTGTGCTCAGTTTTAAACCCCTGGTGATTTTAGAAAGGTTGTACTTCAAAAATAAGTCAGGTCTTAAGTATCTTATTCGTCTAATGCCTTCATCTACACCCGCCATGTCTATAGACAAGGACTCTAAAAACAAACCCGGAAATCTGCCTTGGTGAGTTAACCTGTTTGAGTAGTGTTCAGTCCATGTTATCTTAAAAGTGCACATATAATCCAACTTTTCTGAACGGCTTTTCATTTGTCGTATCTAGGGTAGAGAAGTATCGTCCTAACAAGCTGGATGACTTAATATCTCACGATGACATCATAAAAACTAGTAAGAATATTCATACCTCTAGTAATTTGTCTTCCAAGTTTGTGCTGGATTATTAAAATGACACTTAATTTCTTACATATTTCAGTTAACAAATTTATTAAGGAAGATCAACTACCACATCTTCTATTTTATGGACCACCAGGAACAGGAAAAACATCAACGATACTTGCATCTGCCAAACAATTATACACACCCACTCAGTTTCCATCAATGGTATGTTTGGAACAATTTAAAGTTGTATCTTGGTGTTGAGTTTTTAAGCCATTCCTTGTAATTATTGCAATAGGTCCTGGAACTGAATGCCTCTGATGACAGAGGCATTGGAATTGTCCGTGGACAAATTCTTAGCTTTGCAAGCACCCGTACAATTTTCAACAAAGGATTCAAGCTAATAATTCTTGATGAAGCCGATGCCATGACTAATGATGCACAAAATGCTTTGAGAAGAAGTACGTCTTTGTTTGAACATATGTGTTTTTATCTTTCCCTTATTTCTTTCACTAATCTGATGCTTTTTTTAGTCATTGAAAAATTTACGGACAATGTTCGCTTTTGCATCATTTGCAACTACCTGAGTAAAATTATACCTGCTCTTCAGTCAAGGTGTACTCGATTTCGTTTTGGTCCTCTGGACTCTAACCAAATCCTACCAAGACTTATGCATGTTGTTGAACAAGAAAAGTAAGCAAACCATATGCAGGAATTATCATATGTTTCCCCATTTAGCTGGTTATGATTTTATTTTACCTTTATTTTATATTTTTCAGTGTTGACATTACGGAAGATGGTGCCAAGGCTCTCATCACATTGGGGCAAGGGGATATGCGAAAAGTATTGAATGTCCTGCAGAGTACTCACATGGCATATGCAAAGGTTACTGAAGACAATGTGTATACATGTGTTGGTCATCCTCTCAAGAGTGATATAGTAAATATTGTCAAATGGCTATTGAATGAGAACTTTACTTCGACTTACAAAAAAATTGTTGAGTTAAAGTTGGCCAAGGGCCTTGCATTACATGATATCTTGACTGAAGTTCACCTGTATGTTCATCGTATTGAGTTTCCACCAGAGATTCTAGTCCATTTGCTAATAAAAATGTCTGACATTGAGAGGAGGCTTGTGTCAGGAACAAGTGAAGATATTCAATTAAGTAGTCTTATTGCAGCCTTTCAACCAGCAAGAGAAATAAGTACAGAGGATTAGTGAACTTGAGAGAAATCAATTGTGTTTGTTGTGGTACTTTTGGAAAAGAAATGATAGTAGTCAATCTCCAAAAACCATCTTTGTTTATTTGATCACACAATGTGTATGTACTTTTCCATGCTAATGGATATAATATGTGAAGAATTGTCACCACCAAGCTAAGTTGGTAATTGACATTTGTGTGCAAAATATCTTTTCTATGTGTTAAAAGTAAATGATGTTCATTTTAGAAGACATTGTTGAATCATTAAATTTTGTACCTTTTCATTGAATTTAACAATTTTTTGATCAAACACATTTCTTGAATCTATAGCTAGTTACATCTATTGATGGGGAACAATGATGGTTGGGAGCTATATTTATATAGCTATTTATTCATAGTTGTAGGTCTTTCTATCTCTGCGGTTTCATGAATCGTCTGTAAACCAATGAATAGCTGAAATAATTCTTAGTATGCTGTGACAGTGCAAGCTTTCCCTGGGTTTATTGTGACTAAACAATGCCAGTGAAAATTTACTTTGGAAAACAAGAATTCTCATCAAAAGACCTCACCTATCCTAAGTGTAGTAACAACTTGACAACTAGTAACACAATTATTTCCTTATAACTACTCATAGCCTTGCAATTGCTACAGTTTCATTTTTTCCAATAATTGATCTAACTTTATTTCCTTTGATCACAGTGTCACCGCAGTATCAGCTCCAAAAGTTTGAGGAGTGATGATGCTGCTGCTGAGATCAACACCTTGGCGCTTTTGGTCACATATAGGTATATATGGACAGTATAGTTGCATTGACTAAAGAACAGTACTGTTGCCCATATCTCATCCACTAAGCGTTACTGCAAGTTAACGTACTGTTCTTTTGACAGACTCACTATATACACTTTTCCACTTAAAATTACATGTACGTTTTGCTTAGCAGGATAGATTAACATTCTTCATTAACAATTTAAAAAATGGCAAAATAGCAATTAACTGTATCACAAAAATAAGTTTTCATTTAGGTGTAATAATGAGACTAATCATCTTCAAAGACCATCATTCATTTGGTTCATAACTAATCATACCCATTTCGTATAATTTCTTTAGAAAGACTTAATAAACAGTGGTCATACGTGGTGAGAAGCTAGTTCGACAATGTTGTGACTCACAGGCTCCGTCTTCTAAACCATAGGTAATGTAACCAAAATTATCAAACACCTGTGACACTTAAAGTAAAAAGCTTGCAAAGTCACAGCTAGTGGGTTGGCTTTTGCATGCCAATCTCTCAGTAAATTCAAGAAAAGCAAGGTTTTGTTTAAATTGGACCAGTAGAGATAGAAAAGACCATTTTTTTTTTTTACCACCCTAAGGACCATTGTTAAGTCTTTCCTTCCTGTTAATAAGACCATGTTGACTGACTTCATAATTAACTTCCCATTCTCATAATTATTAACTAACTTAAAATAGATCATTAAATATTTAATTATACATATGTGTATGTTAAAAAGAGTAAAAATATGATGATAATGTTGCGATCAACGCGATACTTGGTAATACAATCTCCTACAAATCACATTCAATCAAGCTAGTGTCACACAGTTTGTGAGTAACAAGGAATTTGGTCATTTGATAAGAGTCCAGTATGTTGGCTAGAAGGGGATACAATTGGTCTCTTTGCACTTCATAATCATAATTTACCAGTGAGGATACAGTTTGCAAATGAAAGCAAAGCAAGAATGTAACAGAAATGTCAGCTGTTTGAGAATTCCTGTAAGAATAAAATGTTTTCATCTCCCTGAAGAGTCTATAACTTATTCATTTTAAGTTCAAGCCTCTTTACAATATTTGGGTTGGGAAACCCCAGGAATATGTGTTTGGATCAAAATTGAAAAGAAAAATGTTCACAGCAAATACTATCACAGATATGAGTATTTTTAGGGAAGCAAAATAGAACCGTAGTTCGTGCTTGTACTGACAATCAAGGAAAGATTTGAGTGCAATTGACCTGAGCATTTATAGCATAGTTGAAATTATTCAGAGGTGTTTTTGTTTTTTGTTTTTGTGTTTGTGAAACTCAATCAAAGTCTGCCGACACAGCACATAGTTAGCAGTTAGATATATTTCCCCATGATAATACAGATGCACACTTACCGAGCATTGAGATCACTCACAGATAGACCTTTCCACATATTCATTTAATCACTGAAGTAAATAAGTTATTCGAGTTGAACTTTCATAGAGATTAGGTTGTTCCCTCAGAGAGCTAGAAAACTAATTACAAACTGCCAGTTATAAAAACTCTCTCCTGCACATTGTAGTTCTCTAAATGCAATCTATGACCTGTTTCAATGCAATTTGGGATAATTAAGCATCACCCCCCCAAAACCAGATAAACATAAAATAAAAGCTTTGAGCCATTCCCAAACGTAAATACCACCACTTGGAACACTTGAAAATTGCTGAACAATCACAATGTTTACCAGACCAAAGCCACCAAAATTTCAAAGTTTGCCTAGAGTTTACATAGTTTACACATTTACAGATGGGGTTATCATAATGTCAGCAATATACAGCTAAGGCTTCAAGAATGCAATTAGTGCTCATCTTGAGAATTTGTGGAACCAGAATTAGTTCTAGAATGTGCAGTGCAATTGCAAAACTTGACTGTAAATATTTGCTTTGGATACATCAAATAACTAGAACTTCACACAGAAAATATTTAAACACTCTTCAGTGATGTCCATCCTCAATCAAAAATAGTAAAATGACCAGCACATCTACATTGTATCTCAAGGCCTCCCTCCCATGTCCATACTTTTGACATGGCTTGCCAAATGTATACCTATCAAGCTATCACAAAAGTCCATACCTCAAAGGATGGAGAGTAGTCCCATGAAAAATCTTCATGCCATCATCAGTTGCTGGCAGGCGTCTTCCATCCCACCCACCTTTTTATTTGACAAACAAAATACACATAGCTTCAAAAAGCCCTGGTCCCAGAAATAAGGTATACCCTATGTGCATGCAACAGCCCCTCCCCTAGGGGTAGGGGTAGTACTGGTACTCGTTAGGGCCGGGCTGCCCCACTCGCCCCCTGTTGACAAGAACAAGCAGTGGCCGTGCTTGGGAGGTACAGTCCCAGCAACCCCTCATGAGGCCCGCAGGCCCCATTGGACTCAAGGGGGACACGGGGCTGTCCAGACTGTCCCCACCGCCCAGCAGGCGCCAGCTGCGGCTGAATGCGGCACTGCCCGTGGACAGCACGGTCTGCACTGGCGGTATACCGAGAGGCCTGGCCATGGAGGTATACTGAGGGCCCGCGCCTGCGGGGACGGGTCTAGGGGTGAACTTGAGCGCGGGCCTTGGCGTTGGCGGTGTGGCCGCACCCGCGGCGGCCGCGTGGCGCTGGTGGAAGCCCGAGGCGGACGAGATGTCGGACTCGGTCCGCGAGCTGGACGTCGAGTTGAGGCGGCGGTGTCCGAGGCGCGTCCCGGACGGCGGCCCGGGGCCCACCGGCGACACAGGCCCGGGGGACGCGGGCGCGGCGGGCGCGGGGGGTGGCACCTGCACCGCGGCCGCCTGCGGGTCGGTGCTGGCCGCGCTGCCGGAGCGCGTCCGGGTGAGCAGTGGCCGCGCCAGCGAGTCCTCGTTGGCGTCGCTATTGCGGTGGGAGCGGTAGCGCGAGGGGTGCGCCGGGTACTCGCCCGGACTCAGCACCACGGCGCCCTGCGCCTGTCCGCGTGGCTTCCAGCCGTGCACCGTCAGCACGTACTCGGACTCCTCGCCGTTGTTGTTGTCGCCCCAGAGGTAGTTGTCGTTGAACGCCAGCCCGTTGCTGCGCACGTCCGCGTTCACCTCGGTGGAGCGCGTCACGCCAAGGCGCGGCGGCGCGGACGAAGTGGGGCTGAGCAGGCTGCGCAGTCCGCCGCGCTTGGACGTCTTCCGCGGCGGCGGCGGGGCGGCTGAGCGGGAGGAGGAGGACGCCGTCGGCGTCGTCACTGGCGCCGCGCTCACACCGCAGTAATTGTTGATGTTGGAGGTGGTCGTGGTGGTGCTGCCGGGGGTGGTGGCAGCGGGGGACGGAAGGTTGTTGTTGAGGGCGTCAGCCGCGTCAGCCGCGTCGGCCGGGGTGGGGGAGGGCGGCG